CATCACAAATATTATTTCATCTGTAGTTCACTCAGTCTTGTAGTAAAAAGTGAAGCATTTGCGAAATAAGAGCGTACAACACATTCACAGAATGCGCACTATGTAAAATACCAAATGAGCCAACGTTAATGTTAATATACGATCTACGGAACTTTAGGGAGTAGTATGTTTATAGTTATATATATTTATCTTCCGTTGCCAGTGAAGGCAGCGGAAAGGGAGCAGTAAGAGGTTACCAACCTGAAGCAATGTCGCGCGCCCATGTAGAGCCAGGAGATGACGACAAATGGAGGCGGCAGGAGAGGGCGCGATTCGTACTCGATGATTATGGAGTAGCGTAGGTACTTGTAGATGAGCTCTGATTGTTCCAGTACCCGTATGAATATGCTGTTGAAGACCGCAATGATGACGCTGAGCATCAGCACGATGGAATAGAGGAGGTAGATGACACTGGCGATGGGCACAGCCTGGTAGAGTGGCGCCTCATCCAGATCGACATTCCAGTCAATAGCTGTTAAAATAGAGCGAGATGTTAGTAAAGGTAAGCCAGAAAAAAACACAGAAAAATACTGTTTTGGGGCGAGTATTCTGGCAGCACCTGTGCGCCCTGTCTATTGGTTTAAGGTCATCGCGTGGGGACAGTCACCAGCGAAGGCATATGACCTTGAAGGCAGTCCGCATCGAGAAAGGAATCATTGTGGCAGTCGGTCACGGGCACAACGCCTCAGGAAGGCTGGCATTCGGTTAGGCTACACTCCTAACACACCCTTGCTCAGCCGAAGAACTATGCCATCGTTAGAATTGTTACCGATCACACCAGCAACTTCATTTTACCCTACCTTTCAGTAAAATCATACAAGGCGGACATTTGCCCTGACATTTTCAGGCCGATATATCAAACATGCAGGCCTGAGGTTATTCAAGTCTGAACGTAATCATCCACTCTTCTAACATTGCGATATAGTTTTTTACTGCTCCTGTGGAGCAGGTCATATTGGTCGCACGAGTCGGCGCCTATCCAAAAGAAT